CTTTACGGAGTGTGATGCCTTTCTCCGTACTGATTTTGCAACACTCTCTCTAGATTTCACTTATAAAGGTCATTGACATCACACACAAAATAATTCTGCCTTTCTGACTTCTCAACAATTTCTCTTAGAAAAAAATGACTTACTTTAAAATTGAAGGGAAAGTCAGTGTGCTAAAAAATGTACTTCTCTTTCTGACTTTTCAACAATTTCTCTTATAAAAGTCAATGGAGTAATTTACTTTTTAACTGAAGGGAAAGAATACATCCAAAATACATATTTTATATAGTTCTATAATTTCGCTGATTTTTAGATCAAAGACCATTATTTAGTCATTTGTTCTCATTATTCTCCAGAGCAAAGGTTTTAAGAAAAAAACCCCTGCATTCATAGTTCTTCAAAAGGTCACCTTGGCAACTTCGAACTATGTACTTAAACTTCCACTTATTCTTCCAAGCACAGCCAACCTCCCAGTTCTCTAACTTGGTAGAAGCAGCTATCATCTCTAAGATAAGCCTTCTATGCTAATCAAATACTTGATTTTCCTTTGTTTAGACAGATAACATATTTTGTTTCATAACCATATAATGTCTTAGGTGATTTGTCTATGGGTTAATTCTGTAACTTAAAAACAAATTAACACACTTTACTTAAAATTGTTGGTTATGTATTGTTTTTTAAAGGGACACAATTATTTATTAAAAAGGAGGATCATTGCCTCTCCTTAATGAGAAAGAAAGGCAGAAAGAATCGAGGCACTCAAGCTACAAAGCTGATGAAGAATAAGGAATATACCAGGGACTTCTAATGAACAAAACAGTCTTAGAAGAAACACAGCCAAAACGCTCCTTAGAACCAAGGGTGGCAAGATTTGGGCTTTCCCATGATGTGAGGAAAGACTCATGTTAGAAAAGCACATCAGTTTTCAGTCAAGGTGAGAGTCAGTGAAAAAGAAGGAGCTCTCACTGCGATGGACTGACAGAAAAGGCAAAACAATGCACGTCCGCATACCCACAACCGGCCGCTGGTGCTAACAAGCAGCATAAAGTCACCAGGAGCTGAAGCTGGCCGGACAGTGCTTAACAAAACCCTCAGCTTAAAGTAATCTGAAGCAATAATCTCAAGCAGAAAGCATCAGACGGTCTCGACTTAGAGATAAATTATCAACAAAGTCACAGCGTATGTGCTACTATTACTTTTAAATAGTCTGGGAAATTTATAAAGTAGTAATAACCAAGTACATATTTAGTCTAGTTAAAAGCAACAACATCAGCATGAAAAAAAAAAAAAGCAACAACATCAGCAACAAAATCTTACTAAGGTCATTTGATGTTCTGGCTTTGAGGGAAGGGTAATGTTGGAAGGTACCTTTATGATAAGGCAATGATAAAATACATGCTCAGGTTCTGAAGAATATCCTTCAGAAATGTAAATGTTGGCAACATTTTTTAAAACGTTATTTTTTTGTTAGGTTCCTCATTCATTTATACTTTGTTGAGTGCAAATTATCTGTAGGCACCATGTGGAAATGCCTAGGTGGGGAGGAGGTAAAACCATCAAGACCAGGTGCTGGTCACCTGGAGCTCACACTCTAATTGGGAGGCAAAAGGGGCTGGGGAAAAAGCTAGTATATCTTTATCAACAAATACCTTCAAATAATTACACATAGTACAAAAAAGGGACTATAAAGGGTCAAAAATAGCAATGGCGGTAATAACCACAGCCATCATTACAGTCTTTCTAGATGACAGACATGATTATAAAGTATCACTGGGAGTTAAAACATCCAAATCAGTGGCCCTGAGGAGCTCTGATGGCGCAGTGGGTTTCACATTGGGCTGCTAACCATAAGATCAACAGTTCAAGCCTACCAGTCATGCCTAGGGTGGAAGATGAGGCTGTCCGCATAAAGATTTAATCTTGGAACCCTTAAGGAGCAGTTCTGGTCTGTCTTTCAGGATTGACTCCATGGCAGTGGGTTTGCTTTCTTTTCATTTTTTAGTACAATGGTTCTATTATTTACAGAGGGTTGACATAAGGATAAAAGTAATTGGGATTTCCATCCTGGCCTTCTGGTTCTGGAGATCAAACACTCACCGCTACCACACCAGGGTGTGAATGAGGCACAAAGAAAAGAAGGAACCACTCTGGATAAGTTGGTACAGAAACTCTGGTGATGTAGTGGTTACATGTTGGGCTATAACTGCGAGGTCAGCAGTTCGAAACCACTAGCTGTTCCTCAGGGGGCAGACATTAACAGTTATATCTCGGAAACTCACAGGGAAGTTCTACCCAGTCCTACAGCATCAATAGGAGTTGGTGTCAACTCGGTGGCAGAGAGAGTTTTGGAAGCTGATACAGGAAAGCATCTAAGAGGAGCAGACACTTGAGCTAGGATCTCAGAGTAAGTAATGCAGCTCTTCTTTTTGAAAATAATTCAAGTGGAAGAAGCTGGTCTCTTAGGCCACTCCTACTTTATGCCATCAGTGTATCAGGATGCTTATCTTTACACTATCTATAGTAGAGAAGAGAGCCCTGGTGGCATAGTGCTTATGCATTGGGCTGCTACCTGCAAGGTCAGCAGTTTGAAACTAGCAGCTGTTTAGTGGGATAAAGATGAGGCTTTCTACTCATGTAGAGCATTACATTCTCAGCCCTGTCCTTATAGGGGCATTAAGAATCAGAAATGACTAGAGGGCAGTGAGTGAGATAGTAAAAGAGCAGGTTGCTAAATACTTTTGTTGAAAACTGAGTGAGTGATACTTCACATAAATGACAAGAAATCAAAATAAAATGAAAAACTTAATAAAAGTGTACACTTCACCATAAAAGCCTAGAATATGTAATAATGCTTAGAAAAGTTTCAGAATCTCATACTTATTAATACTGACATCATTCAGACCTTTTGATTGCTAAGAATCATATAATCATCATTCAAATGACTCCTAAACCTAAGAAAGTCGGCTCTGAATTAATGAGGTCATTAAAGTCATTCATTCTATTAAAAACTGGTACTTTTGAAGGAAGAAGTGAACCACTATTTTTTTTAAATAGTGACTGTATTCAGTCCTTGACAAACAGATCCTGGTACACAAAAGGTCATCTTAGTAAAGGTCATAAAGAAAATTTCCTGGGTTTCCACAAGAATCTCTTCTCTAGGATTGCTGTCTACATTGAAGAAACCATCAAGTGGAAGAGAAGCCACACAGGGAGAACTGGAATAGAAAGAGAATGGCAAGAGAAGCTCCAGAGCAGGGGAAATGGAATAAAAGTTAGAACTAAATGAGGACCAAGAGACGACTGGGGCCACTTACCTAAAAATTCCTCCCCTGCCCACTCCCCCTAGCAGGATGTTCTCCTCCATTCCAACCTTAAAAAATGTTATTTTACTTCAATATGAAATTATTTCTTAATCCTTTCTTTACATAACTCCAGTGTGTAAGGTCCTTTCCACTTGCCCTACCCTTAACTTCACAACTATACATTTAAAACTAGCCCCAGAGCCCCGAACTCCAGGTCCACTGCCCTAGTCAAGGCTGCCCCAGGTAGAGTTTCTGCTACAATAAGTTCTGGGGGTATTTGTATCAACAAAGGCGACCTAGCTGCAGGAGTCAAAGTCCAACTTCTGTGGACAAGCCGGTAGCAAATGAAGAAGAGCTCTGGAAGTGGAGGACGGAATTCTCAACTCAATTTCTCTCATTACACGTGATGGTGAGAGCCTTAATGTTCTGGCTTATCGCAGGCTATGTTCTAATGTGAGTTTAAACCCCAAAGGCCTAAGATAAATGACCTCATCTCATCTAACCAAAACTTCTGGGAATAACAGCTTTCAGCAGCACTGTGAAAAAGAATCTCACAGTAGATTTATAAGTTTTTATCTTATTTTAATATGATATAAGGAAATGCTTTATAAATGAATTTTTATAACACACTATGTTTATATATTGAAAACTGTGTAGGCCCTGAAATGAGAAAAATACTAATAAGTTAACAGAGCTAGCGAGAAGCCATGATTCATTCCAGAAAAAGCAAAGTTTCCTGTGGTTGATTCGGTTGGCCAAGGCTGTAAAAGAGTCTATACTTTGTTTTGATAGTTGAGCTTTGGTAAAGTGCTGTCAAAATCTGTCTCCCACTTTATTCCCGGTGGGGCTGAGCCAGGTGTCACTAATCCTCAGATGCTCTGCTTGCTAGCAGCCTCCAAGGAACTTGAATTTGATGGCTTAGCATCTAAGATTGTGTTCAGTCTCCTAGAAATGGATGATTTGCTTACCACACAGCTCAATGGGCAAAGTCCTGGTTCCAATGAGGAAAAAGCTCCGTTGAAAGAAAACAGGGAGAAGAGGGAAAACCGTTCCATTGCTGAGAGCTGTTGTCAAAACTACCTGGGAGGGAGTTTCTTTTCCCAACTTGAGTCAGGGAGAATAAGGACTTGAGCGACTAGTGACTCTCTGGATTTGCCATGGGTGGATCTTTATGTCTATCTGTGCAATTCTACACCTGCCCAGTAACGAAAACATAGCACTCTTTCACACACATCACGAACCAAGTATTGGCAAGTAATATTGGTAACACCTAACAAGTAGAGACGGGCTCTCGTGATGAGTCTTGTGCTTAGCATGCTCTTCAGTGTAACTACTTAAACACTAGAAAATGCTTGTAAGGTTTACTCTGCAAATAATTATTCTAGTTCAGATGATTACAGCATATGAAAGAAAACTGAACAAATAAACTAACCTATCTAGCTCCGGATCTTTTATCAACTTCTGATCCCAAACCTGAAAGCTGCAACCAAACCCCTGAGAACAGTGCTGGATGCTTTTACAGACTACGACAGAGGTCCGCAGTGCAGACTTCAGCACGAACGCTCCCAAACCATCAAACGCTCAAGAACACGGCACTTAGTGGCGTATGGTGTGGGGATTCTTACTGCTCAAACTGCCTAACGAAAATGTATTTACTGAGAACAATATTAATTCGACCCACGTTTCTCCAGTTTGGCTTACCTCAACATATGAAATCGGAAATATTCCGATTTTGTCTGCTAACATCCCTTCCGCCCAGTTTTCATCCACTCTTCGGATCACAGTCAGAACATCATCCTGAAGAAACAGCAAATGATTCAACCACTGGCTCTCATTAAGTTTACCACTTAGTTTTCATGTTCAATAAATCCACTGCCATAAAGTTGGCTCTGCCTCACAGCAACCATGTAGGACAGAATAAGAGGGCTTCTTAGGGTTCCTGAGGCTGGGCAATCTTTACAGGTGCAGAAAGTCTCCTCTTTTTCCTCAGGAGAAGTTGTTGAGTACAAACTATTAACAGCAACCCACCACGTAACGAATTTTCAGAGAACTTGAAATAAAAATGTGATGGCATAGTTTTAGTACAGGAATCTAACCTTCTCATGAACTAAATGGTAACCTATTAGTCAACCTGGTGTACTTTTATAGCTGTGAACTAAAAACTCTTTCCATGCAAGCAGCTGCCTGCTTAATGTGTTTACATATTTCAATTGCTACCCGCACTAACCTCTTGAATTTCAATTTAAATGGGTTCCCAGAGTCTTCTTACAATCTCTCTGATAATAGGCCAAAAGCCCATCGGAATGCAAACCCTTCTGATTGTTTTAAAAACACAGTATTCTACTTAAAATTCCCAACTATCATCAGTTCAGTGGATCTATTCCTTCCCGAAGGAAAGAAAACAGACATTTACATATAAAATATGGAAATAATACTTCATTTTGTTATATCATCCAGTAGTTCAGATTCCCACGTGGTACACATACCCTACAAATTGGCTTATAATTCCATTTAGACTCTAAATTTAATATGAAAATGATACTACATAGAGTATTACCCAAAATTATCCTTCAAATAAGAACCTGTCAACAGCATGTCTTGTGACTTTAAGAAGTCAGTTGCCATTAAGCAGGTTCTGGCTCCAGCAACCCCATGTGAGCAGAACAGTCCTGCTCTGTACTGTGTGTGTTCTAAGTGGTGGCCTTTCAGGAGCGCCACCAGCTCTCTTCTGAGCGCCCCTAAGTGGGTTTTAACTGCCAGCCTTTCAGCTAGTTGATGAACCCTTGACTGTTATCACCATTAATTCCAGATTGTTTTAGAAGCACAATGAGATAGTTCACCCCAAAAAAATTAATATACTTAAAAAAATGTCTATGCCCGCAGATATACCAAGAATAGCTGGCACCCTGAATCAGTGAGCTCATTCTAACTTACCTTTGCAAAGGGAAGGCAATCTTTGTCTGCTTCCTTGTCTTTCACTTCAAAGTCATAAAGTGCTTTGCACTGAGGTGGAGGCTGAGGTAACGGTTTAATAATCTGCACAAAGTTGGTAGGGAAAAAGCCATGGACCCCGCTGACTTCTCCATGGTACCAATTTTCATCTACTTGTCGTCGCAAAATGATGATGTCCCCTTTGCTGAATTTAAGATCTCCAGGTTCTTTTCCTTCGTAGTTGTATAATGCTTTGGCACATGGTAGCTGAGGTATACCCTGTAACAAAGAGATGAGTTTCAATGAATGAGAAGTCTAACAATGTCTTTTTTTTCAATGCAAGGTCAAATCAGAAGTTCATGCTTTAAACAGAATCTCATATACCATACATACTTGAGTATAAGCCGAGTTTTTAATCACATTTTTAATGCAGTTTTTGTGGTAAAATTAGGTTCCTTGGCAGATATTCGGGTTGGCTTATACTCGAGTATGTACGGTAAATATATTGTATAAATAAATGAACAAATAGCAAATCCAAACACAATGTCCACAGTGAGGTAGGAAGAGTTAGGACTATCCTCGCTCCATCCATGATTAAACTTTACTAAACAACTGAGTCGGTTTGTTATCTTCGTCTTCCATGGTGACTCTAGTGGACTCAAATCTCTAACTATCTTGCCGTTAGCATCAGAGAGCATTAACTGCACCCCATAATCTCCAAGTTTAACTTCACCCCTTCCGCTGCCGTTGAGCCCATTTTGAGTCAGAGTGACACTATGCAGTGTTTGGGGGCTGAACAATCTTTATAGGAGTAGGTAGTCTTATCTTTCTGCTGCTGAGCAGGTGTTTGAATGGGTGACCTTTCAGTTACAAGCTAAACACCTAACTCACTGTGGCACGAGTGTTCCGTATGTTGACCTTAGTGGGCACTTTCACCCTGCTTGGGGTTACTAGTACATAAAATGACTGCTAAATCTGACTTCCTGGCATTGTTGCCAAGTCAATTCCAGTTCCTGGCAAGCTCACAGAGTAGAATTGCTCCAGAGCTTCTTAAGGCTGGGGTCTTTAAGAAGCATGGGCAAGTCTCACAAAATCCCACAGGGGCAGTGAGAACCACCAAAGTTCTTGCTAGTTGAGCACACCACCATCTGCACCATCCAGGAACTACTGACTCCCTGATATAAAATGCTAAAAACTCATAAAAGCAAGCTTAACTTCCTTTACCATCTACGTTAGGAAAAGCAGTGAGAGCGTGAGCACAATTCATCCATTTACTAAGAAAGAGCTCCTTTAATATGATAAATATGAGTAAGAATTTGGCTTTGGGCAAATCTTATCCTGAAACTTGTTTGACGGTGGAGTGTAGTTATAATTCTTCATGAACTTAAGCATTTAATGAGGGTATACTATGTGCCAGAAGCCTCAAAAGCACAGTGGGTATGTGCTGGGCTGCTACCCACAAGGTCACCAGTTAGAAACCAGCAGCTGCCCTGTGGGAGAAAGACAAGACTTTCTACTCCTGCAAGAAGTCAATACTGTGAACGCACAGGGGCAGTTCTACCCTGCTCTACAGGACTGCTGTGAGTCAGAATTGACTTGACAGCAGTGAGTTTGGTTTGGTTTTGGGGACTATGCCACAGGGCAGCAACGTCACAGTGAGTGAGACAATCACCAGTGCTGTCCTCTCAGAGCTCAAACACTGTAAAACATCACATGCTTCTTCACGTGTCATCTATGCGAACTCATCTGAACCACGCTTTCTCAGTCAGAGACCACCGTTAGGCTGAAATGCTAACAGGTGATGTTCTAAATGTTGCTGCACTGTCATATAATTTTACACAGCAGGTTTTTAATTTTATGGATGACCCCCAAGGCAACTTAGTTATCCCATGGGTTCAACAAGGCACTTTCAAGGGCATGGAGGTGCCCATTGTTGAGGGTTAGCTGCCACTTTAGAAGATCTCTGACCGCGCTGAGCACTGCTGCCTATCACTGACTCGGAGGGTGAATAATTTACTGAACAGTACTGCAGGGCTCCTCCTTTTCATGTGCTTATTCACCGATACATTCACCAAAAAGACTATCAAGGTTTTCACTTTTCATACCAGGCAGTGGGCGTATGCTGAATAAGGACATAAAGAGAAATAGGGCACAATGGTGTCACTAAATGGTAACACAAGTAATTCTCATACCATGTAGTAAGACATGACAATAGTTTATGGGGGCATATGGCATCAGACTTTGGGGCTTATAGTAGCTGTCAAGTTGACTGCTTCCTGGCACCCCATGTCTATCAGGGCAGAACTGTGTCCCGCAGGGTTTTCAGTGGTTGATTTTTCACAGGTCAATCACCAGATCTACTTTATGAGATACCTCTGGTGGACTCGAAGTTTCAACCTCTTGGTTAGCAGCCAAGTACATTTCTGAGACTATAACCGATGACAGAGGAGAAAGCCCTGTCTTTCTCCCACGGAGCACCTGGGGCTTTCCAACTGCAAACCTTTTTGAACTCAGTCCAGCATGCAACCACTATGCCACCAGAGATCGACTTCCGTTAAGAGTTACAGTCTCATCACCAGGCTGCTCTCGTGAAGGAAAAAAGTTAAAGTCTCATAAACTGACAGGGACAATTCTATCCTGTCCTACAGGGTCGCTATGAGTCGGCATCGACTTGATGGCAGTGAGTTTTTGGTTTGGTTTTTTGTTATCTCAGGCTAGCAATATTTCACAAAAACCCACTGCCCTTTAGGGCAGAGCAGAACTGCTCCCTTAGGTTTCCAGGGCTGTAACTCTTTAAGGGAATAGACATCCTCATTTTACTCTCATGGAGCAGCTAGTAGATTTGAACAGTCAACCTTGTGATTTGTAAGCACCTTTAGCTTACCTCACTATACCACCATAAACATTAGTAACTAACAAGAACCAAACAGCAATAAGCATTACTGTGGGAAAGAGAGAGGGACACAGAGAGGGTTAAAAAAAAAAGTGAGGATGAACAAGCCAGAGAGATTACTAAAAACTGACGACTGGGACTATGATCAGGCATTATAAGGTAAGTGGAGCAGTTACATAATCTCTTGTCAACTTGCGAAGGGTGGAATCTAGCCTGTCAGTCAGGTCATAGCCAATGAGGCCTCTATGTGGGCATAGCCTTCACCTGAGGATTCTGGAAATTCTTGTCTCCCTCCCTGGGGGTGGGACACGCACTCTCCCTGCTTGACATTCCTGATGACAAGCCAGATGGAGCTACGCTGACGGAGCCAGAGCCCTAGAGCTGGAGGAGCCACGTGAAGACGCACACCAGCATTGAGATGCTTCTACCGCCACTGGATCCACAAGACTCCCCCCACCCCCTGGCCTGTGATCTTCCTGCATTCTGTGGCATTGCATGTGTTGCGTGAGTCTGAAGAAGAATTTATAAACTACTATTGGACATCTTGGCTAATATTGGACTTACAGACTTGATCTGGACTGGGCTGGGATGTTTTCTCAATATATATTTGCTGTTTTCTATAAAGTTCTTTCTTATACACATGAGTCTCCCTGGATTTGTTTCTCTAGTCTATCAGGACTAACATAGTAAGGGATGGAAGCACTGACTCCATGGGTTTAAGTCCAAGTCAGGCCACTTACTTTGTGATCTTGGGTAGGTGTATTAGTCTATGTACTTTGGAGAAACAAATCCACAGCAACTCATGTATAAGAGAGAGTTTTATGCAAAGAAAATGTGCATCACAAAAACATCCCAACCCAATACTGCCCAAGCCCCTAAGTCCAACATTAACCCATACCCAACACCAGTCCACAAAGTCCTCCACCTCACAAAACAGAGGCAATAATGCCGGCTGCAGGAGGAAAGCTGAGTCAGTGAACGTGTAAGCATCTCAGCACTGGCAGGGGTCTCCACACGGCTGCTCCAGCACCCAGGGCTGCATCGGGATAGATCCATGTGGCTTCTCCTTGGGGATGTCTTGTAGGAAATCCATCTTGCAAGCTGAAGCAGGGAACTGCTAAGGCAGCTGCACCCGATGCAACCATCACAAAACAAGAGACCCGAGAACTAGAAAGGCGAGACTTCACCACCCATTTATCCCTCCGCCTTTCAACCAGCACCACATGTGATTATCGGCCAGGCTGGCACAATTAACTAACTCAGTAGGTAACTATTTTGTTCCTTGGTTTCTTTGTCTGGTGTGGTGAGGATTTTGAGAATTAATGTCTGCAATCCACTACAAATGACCCAGTTAGTCAATCATATAAGTATAAACCATCACCCTCAGCATCATCACTGACCAGGGCGATGAACCTCTTCACTAGGGAAATACCTCTGACGGTTTACTTGTCTCCATGGAGCTGGATTCTTTCCTTTAGGAAGATCCATGTAGCAATTGCATTTTTAATACATATTCACTGTAGAACAATGCAAAAAATGCGCCTCCTGGGTAGTATTTGGGGGTTTTGAAATGTGCACTTCTGAAGACAGTTATTTTTTGATTAGAATCCATTCATCTTCTGGTTGAACAGAAGAAATTACAAATTCACTGATATGCACCGTTTAATAGGGGATGGCATGTTAGATGTGGCTCTAGTTCATCTTGACAGGGTTAATGTACGGCACTGGGAGCCTGCATGAATTAACTGAGAGTCCTATTACACACTCAGGGACAAATAACTTTATTCACCATCATAGCCTGCTCTTGCAATGTATGCCCATCCCAATGAGCTCTGTTTGGCCCTCTTCTCTCCAAATCCATGCACCAAGACACATATTCAGCACTCTAGAAACCCTTCTGCACCCTCCTTAAAGTGCTCTCTAAAATTCTAAATGGCCACAGTTCTTTTGTGCTATGCGGGCACATGAACGGAACATTTATTTCCTTTGCAGTTCACTTCCACACACCACTGCCTGGTGGACTTACTAACTTTTCCACCAAAGAAAATCTATTCCGTGCTCCCCAAATCATCAAACATCCCTAATACAAGTGACAAGGATACACATTATGCTAACAGCAATTATGGTTAGCCTACAGTTACTGCCGTCAAAAAGGCATTAATTTACACTGACTCACTAAATCTTGACTGCAAAGGTTATTTCCATGATCAATATCCACAGAGAAAGCATCACGAGGCTTATGGCAATCGAACCCAGGCTTATGGCAATCGAACCAATCGAACACAGAACCAATCGAACACAGAGAAGAGACATTTGTGCATCTGGTGGTATTTTTCCATGGCATTCTTTCTCAATTACATGCCAGAGGCACAAGAGGCAGTTTGTG